AAGTGAGGAACATGGAGCTGGTGGTGGGTTAATTACTGTACTCCCTTTGCAGAGGCCAACATGAATACACAGACACCGGCACACACACGCGCGCGCACATTTTATTCTCTCTCTCTCTCTCTCTGTCTCTCTCTCTCTCTCTCTCTCTCTCTCTCTCTCTCTCTCTCTCTCCCACCTCCTTTCCCGCTCTATGCATTGTTGGACATGTCGTCCGACAAGCAATGGCAGTGTAGACGGCGAGCCTTATTGGGTTCGATAAGTAGTACATGGCTATAGTTGTCTTTGGGATGATGCAGAGTCCTCAACACCGCAGTTTCCGTGTAGCGGTGCGGTTGAAGACGACACAACGGCTCCTTCAGTGGCGCTGGATGCCGTACGCTAGAGCAATTCAGGCAAGGCAAATCATCCCAAACCCCAAGTCCAAGCTGTTTGCTCACGCCAAGATGGTTCTTGTACGTACCGTAGCCAGCTGGAAGGTACGTATCCCATCCGTAGTCTTAGCGTTGGACTAGGGTTGCCTGTCATCGAGCTAAGGGTAGGGCAGCAATTAGACGCGATGTACCAGGAAGGGAAAGAATGCGAAGGAACGTCAAGGTGGGATGGGTGCGGAGGAGGAGGAGGAGGAGGCATGAAAGGCGTAGGACCGAGAGGGGGCCGGAGGGAAATGAGAGGAAAGAAAAAGGGGACGAGGACGTGGCACAGAGAGTGAGAAAGAGAGAGAAAGCAACGGACTCGAACGAACCCGGATCTACATACCTAACTAAGCTGACGAAACCCGAATTCGACAGCAGGTACTCTGTACAGATACAGAGTACCCCGTACGCGAAGCGTCGCCCGTCATCCAGCGCAGTCGAGTCAATCTTTGGTTGCTAAAATAAAACCACTGAGCCCCGGGAGACGGGTTCCAGTTCTCTTTTGCATGTTCGTCATATCCTGCCCGCCCACCCCCCCCCTTCTTCCCGCCTCCTTTCATTGGAGCTTCCCGTCTTTGGGGTGCCTTGCCCTGCCTTCCATACCTACACGCCATCCCTTTCCGTCCTCACCTCACCTTAGCTTAGTCCACGTACTTGGTCTAGGTGCTTTAGGCGCATACGAACACCCACGCTATTTCTGACGCTGCGGGTGCGATGGATGCGCGCTCCTGTCCGTCCTGCATCTCACCTCACCTCACCTCACCTCACATCACACCTCAGTTCAATCCCATGAATGATGCCAATCGACTTTTCCCACCTCGACGGTCTCCCGGTCAATATCACGAGGCAATCGTCCACCACCCCGTGCCGATATTGATGTCTGGTGCACAGCGCAGCATATGCGCGCCCGACGTTGCCTCGTTGGCCGTCCCTCGCGTCTCCGTCTTGCCTTTGCTCGATAACTCTCACCAGCCATCCATGCTGTCATGCTCGGGGACTCAGTTCAGGTTTTAAGATTGCAGTCAAGGTAAGAGACCAGGTCCTTATCCGCATTTCCCGTCGCCTTGATCCAAGTGTCATGATCCGGGATGGCTGGGGTCGGAGAAGCCTAGGGTCACCAAGGCGAAAAGTGACACGACGAAATGGAGACTACACTACGTAGAGTGAATGGTGGGGGAGAACGGGGACAGGACGACTCAACGGGGGACTCACAATACACGCGCACACATGCATTTGTGATTTAGCCGACCATCAAATACGGCAAGGCTCTGGAAGCCCACCAGGAATGGATGAATCTTGGAGATTTGATTACATGGCGCCGTTTCCCACGCTCACGTTACAGGCCGTCATCTCCAAGCCCCATCCAGCATCGGCACGCCCTCGAGTCTCCAGGGGGGGAGGGGCCCATCTTTGCCCCGAATCTCACAGCACCGATGGAAATGGCAACCGTAGCGCAAGGGACAGGGGGACAGGCGGAAGCAGACTGGAGGATGAAGCATGGAGCGAGGAGGAAGAAACCCACTAACTCTACTTAACAGCGGAGAGTCCCCTCGAACCACGGGACGCCGAGGCCAGCTGCCAGAGCGTATTCACTTCAGACGACGAGCGCCACTTGAACAAGATCCGTCGACTTTGGACGAGAGTCAACCTTCTGCCGTGCTGTACTCGGCGCCTCGGCCATCTCGCTGCATTTCGTTGCGCCTGTTAGACCAACGACATAACCTTTTGTTTGTACGTTTGATCTTTGTCTTTGACGCCGACGCCGTTTCTCCACCCGACGGGGACTAGGCCCAACTCGACTCGATTCGACCCGACTCGACTCGACTCGACTCTTACACCCACGACCTATGCTCGGCTGTTCCCCAAGGCCTGCAGATACTTGGGTGACCTTGCATACGGATACTACGATTACTCCTCACACCACCCTCTCTGTCTGTCGCGTGTACACTACGCCGGCCCGACGGATACTCTCTCTTTCAACACATCTCGAAGCCAAAGCACCGTAGCACCCACAGCACCACGGCCACAACCACTACCACCACCACCACCACCGCTAGCCGCTCCCCCCACCACCAGCACTACCACTACCGCCGTGGGCAGCCGTATGCAGTAGACGGACGGATACTCACTGGGCCCGTTCGCCTGCATCTGCATCGGTTGGTTTTGGGTCTTGCCTGGGGCTTTTACTGGCTTTGTCTCCAGGGTTCCCTCCCCCTTTCGACGTCGCAAAAGACTTCTCTCTTTCTGCTCTCTCCCACTCACACACCACACTCGTACACACACACACACACTCGCACAGAGATATCCCACACAATCATTTACCTTGGCCTCTGCCCCTCGAGCCAGGTACCAAGGTCAGGAGGTCCTGTCCTTGTCATTGCAGCGGCCCTGCCCTTTGCGCCGCCTTGGTGCCCTGTTGGATGATATTTTCCCCTTACATTTACTCCATACGTCCCATCCCATCAGATCGCTGCTCCTCCCGCTCCCGCCCGTCGCCGAAACGAACCCGACCCAACCTGCCCAACGGAGACTTCAACCTCGTCAATCACATCACCTTGCAGCACCCAGCGCCAGCGGCCACTTGGAACCTCGACCTTGGACGCGGCCTCGACCCGAACCTTGACCATCATCCCGGCCGGCTCTCGTCCTGCCGCCTTTTTGTCTTTTGTTTTCCCGCCTCAATCCGGCTAGCCAACCCAAACTCTCACCTTGTCGCATAGCCTCCCTCACTCTGGCTTTTTATTCCCGAGTCCTGTCTTCGTTGTCGGTCCTGAGCCCCATCTACACCAACGCCAAGATATCGAAACAAACCCATTCCTCTGAAACTTCAACCCCAACCCATCCAGCCCGACCCGACCAACGGCTTCTCGCCTCTTGTGACGCCGCCCGCCGTTTTGCAACCTATCACTTCTGGCCAACCTGCACACGACGAGAAAAGACGCCGATTACCGCAGCACCGGTCCTCCTCTGTACGACCTCTCCAACTCGTTGTGTGACGCCAAGTCGACTCTCTCTCTCTCCCTCTCTCCCGGGGCCACCTAACCGAGCAACGACGAAGCAGTCCGCCCACTCTGATCATGTACGTCAATTGCACCTCCTTTTCTTTTGTCGCCTGGCATCGTTGGCTCTCACTTCACCTTGTCTCGCCCACACTTCTCTACATGTTTCTCTCTGTCTCTCCCTGGGTTCCGTCTCTACCGCATCTACCCTGTTCTTGCTCGTCTTGTCCTGTTTCCTCATGTCTTGTTCTGCCGTACTCGATGCACGATCCGTCTCCTTCCTGTTCTTGCTCTACCTGGCATCTGGTGCAGCGTTACGAACGGCCGAGACATGCAAGGCCCAAGCAGAGGTGATGTGGGAAAGATGAGCCTGCCCCTCAGCAGACACACACTCACACGCACCCATATGCGCACGCATGCGTTCTGCGCAATTCTTCTGTTGTTCCAGCTCCAAGCTCGATTGCGACCGCCTGCATGCAGGTACATGTACTGGTACGCTGTCAAGGCCCATCACCTGGCCCTCTTCTCTGCCCTAAGTTAATGCACCTCGACCCATGTCATTCTCACCCTCATGCCGCCCTGGAAGGCAGAATGCGTCCTGCAGCTCTCTCCCACTCTGGTCACATCGTCGTTCGCCGGCTTGTTGGCTGGGCCGTGAGTTGTCGTGTCGTGCCGGCAACCTTGTCCTGCGATGAAGCGGTGCCCTGGACGGACGAAAGCAGAAGGATGCGTTCAAGTTTGTGTATGCGCGCGTGTCGGCCGGTGCAAGTGCAAGTGCAGAGGGTGTCTTGTGTGTGTCGATGTGGCGCTCTTGTTGGTTGCCGTTGCTGCGTGAGCTGGTGGTGTCTCTGTGTGAGTGAGAGGGCGGTGTCAGTGTACCAGTCCTCGGAATACAAGAAGCTGTCAAGTTACCCAGATCCCTCGACGCAGGAACAGGACTTTGGTTTCGTCACAGCCTCCTCCGCCCCCCCTTTCCCACTGATATCCGTTACATCTCGCCGTGGCTTATTCCCTCGTTTCCGGCACTCTCGCGAAGAAGGGCCCTCACGCGGGTCGCTTTCTCCATAAAAGACAGTCGTACCGGCGGTCACATTTCCCTGGATGCCATCAGCGAGTGCTTCTATCGACTTGCAGCCGCCTGCACTGCGACCATCTCGTTTCGTTTCCCGGCCCAGACTTAGTGCTGTACACACACGTTAAATTGCCCCTTTTCAATCCCACTTCTTCAGGTCAATTCCCTTTCACGTTTTCACAGCCACCACCAGCATCACATCATACACTGAGCTAGCGATCCCTCGTAGCAAATGTTCCGTCATTGCTGACTCGCCAAAGTTTTACCGAACACAGCCACGCCGTGCTGAAAGGCTACCACGGAGGCGAGGCGGTTTTACGAGCTCACGACTTCAGCCCCTTGGCTCCTGACTGCTCGTCCTGACGGTCCCCATCCGCGGCCTGCCCATTGATGTCACCGCTTCAACATTGACTGTGGAACCCTCTCTTCGACATTGTCCCTCTCTTGTCTTGATCGGCGAACTCAACCATAGCCTACAGATCTCACCATCTACACATCTACTTATATATGGTAGCAATGTCTCAAAACGGGTATGCCGTTATCATCGTTACTACGACGAAGCTACAGTTGTATTTGCAGAGGCAAATCGCTAACGTGCCATCTCTAGTGGGACTCCCGATACCCCATCGGATTACTCTGACCACGGCCGCGTCTATGGAGGGTTTCGACGAGGAAGATACTTGCTTCCGATCGATGAGGCAAGTCGCTCTCGAGTCCATGCCATGGACAAGACAAAGGTCCTCCGACTAACAGTTCTTCAGGCCGAGCAAGACAGACTGGACATTTTCCACAAGCTCATCTTTCTGGCAAGAAAAAGCAGATTACATGACGCGCCGCTGCCCGACAGGGCTCAGGTCCTCGACCTCGGGACGGGCACTGGCATATGGGCGATCGACGTCGGCGAGTAAGAAAGCCTGTCCCGCTCCTCCTGCGCGAGGTTTACAGCACCTTTTGACTTGCTAACACGCTCGTCACAGCTCACTTTATAAGGGCGAGGACAACCAGGGCCGCGTATTAGGGCTCGACCTCGCCTACATCCAGCCCAAGGTGTACGTTATCGTGCGTTTCCCGCGGGCTTGGCAACATCGGCTCACTTTTCTATAGGATCCCCACGTGTGTTTCGTTCGTGCGCGCCGATGTCGAGGCGCCGTGGCCGGCACCAGAGCAGACCTTTGACATGATCCACATCCAGATGCTGCTCGGCTCCATACGAGACTGGTCAGACGTCTACCGGAAATCCTTCAGGCACATAAGGCCTGGCGGCTATATTGAGCAGGTGGAGATCGAATGGATGTTCCGCAGCGACGACAACACCTTGCCACCGGACTCGCCTCTCGTTCTATGGGGTAACACGTTGCGACGTGCGATGCAGACGTACAGGCAACCCATAGACATTTTCGACACCAGAGCCGAGCTTCACGCTGCGGGTTTTACCAACATCACCGAGAACGTAGTCAAGCTACCCATCAACCCGTGGAGCGCCGACCCCTTTGAGCAGGAGATTGGCCGGTGGTTCAATCTTGGCCTCACGCATGGCTTCGAGGCCCTGACACTCGCACCCTTCGTCCAAATAGAAGGCTGGCCGAAGCACCAGGTGGACAGGCTGGTGGAAGACCTCAAGAGGGACATTTGTCGGCTCCACGTCCATGCTTACTGCAGAATGTGAGTTTCCTCATGCGGCTTGCCGCCGAGGTGGCTGCAAGCTCTCTTTTCTGGGCCCAATGTGCTGACCGTCGAGCCTAGGTTTATCTGGACGGCTAAGAAACCTGGCCAATGATTCGAAACAGGGCAGCCCAAACTGCCGAGGGGTCCCCATTACACAAAGATGGGATTTTGACGGCGCTGGTGATTCTCATGCCGTTACCCTCCTGTTGCAAGCCGGTACGGACCCGGAATGGGACGAGGCGAGTCTGCGAAGTCGGATATCTCGCGAAGAGACGCCTATCAATTGGACCACTATAGCGATTTTGTTTCCTGTGTTTACACCATCCACCTTTCCATCACGTCGGGTTTTACTGCCAACTGCCTAATTACTTCGGTTACCGCGCTGCTAGCGAGCCAACCCACGATACCCCCCTCCCCCCCTCCATGCGACGCCTCTTCGCCCAACGTCATCAGTTCCATCCTGCATCCCCGGAGAAATGCAGTTTGCCCCCTCCAGCCTCATTCTTACCGAGGCTGGTAAACCCTTGGTCAATCGTATACCAACCAAGCGTCATCAAGCTGTCAGCTTGGGTCGTTCATGCCGAACTACGCCTCGCGGTTTCCTGCCTGAGATGTCGTCGAGGTCTGGTCTGGCACCGCAGGTCCACCGCATCTCCCTCGATCCGTCCTGGGCCGTCGGCTGCATACAGCACGTTGGCTAGTTGCATGCACACACAGTTGGAAGCGCATCGAGTCTTGCAACCGGCCACAGACTTCTCCTACGGGCCGTTGTCTCGTTTTCTCCGGGTAGTTCTGCCGCTGGAGTCACTCTACTCGGTCCCAATCATCGTCCTGCACCTTGGTCAACGGAGTCAATCAAGCTGTTCCTAAAAAACAGGCTTTTGGATTTCTACATGGGCTTGATGCAAGCATGGTTCCTTACACATATTAGCAATATACCCCGATTTGGCGCGTCAATCCATCAAAAATGTATGCCACCACCAACATCAATCACCTTATCCAGACTTTTCGTCCTCCCAAGAAACCATCTGTCATACGGATTCGGCAATGGGGAGTAGTGGTCAAGGTCTAGCCATCTCTGCTTTCCATGTCTTTGGCTCGAGTTCACTAGCGGGGAGGGAAATGGCCCAGTTCAACCAAAATCATAGCGGCGCGCACTTGGCAGCATGCAGTTGAGGGTTTCCTTCCACATTTCTTCGTTTCCCCTTTGACCCCCGCATCGAACGCGGGCCTGAACTCGGGGCGTCAGTTATAGGCGTGCAGGCGCATGGGGGAACGGGATGGTGTGGGTAGAGAAGACCAACGAGAGACACGTCGGCCTGCGGAGAGTGGCATGTTGCTGTTTATCGGTGCCACAATCCAAATCGGCCGGCGGATCGAGTCACGTCTGCGCGACGGAAGGAGAAGGCTGGTATTCGTGGCTGCTGCTTGTTTTCTATTCTAAACCCGTTCCAGGTTGGGCTGTGTAAATAAAGCTGGGCTATGATGGAAGATGACCCCAAATCGCGGCCCGCCTAAGAGGCCGCTTGAGACCTTTTACTGACGGCCCGGCCCTGCATCACGGCCGGGTTCGATAATTCCTGGGTGCAATAGACCGTGACATGGCTGAGCCACGAGTGCGATCCAAGACCACACGACGAGGACCTGGGGTCGGCAGGGCGAGAAAGAACTGCACCGACGGCGAGCCTCGTCGTATCTCTTTCCGAGTTCGCGAGCAACCCGATCCCAGATGGGGGATGGAGACACAATCGAGCCGATGCTTCGATGCCTCGTGGAGCAGTTGGCTTTGCTTTCCTCCCCCCCCCTCTCCCCCTGCCCTACCATCTCCACACCCTGCAGGTCACATTTCTCCCGCATGGCCGGCCGCATCAGCCAGCCACTCCTGGTCCGCCATTCGACTGTTGGTCAGGCCGTTTCACCCCTTCCACTGCGAACGTGTCAGCCATGGGCCACTTGACAACGTTGCAGTCCCGTTCGTCAGGGCCCCCTACCGGGTTGGGCAACGACTGCATGGGCTCTGGCCGGGATAGGAACATCGCTGTGGTCCTGCCGACGTTGGACAGCAAAGCATCGGGACCACCCCCTCCCCCAGGGATTTGTAGCAGACCGGCATACAGATGAGGGAAAGAAGGAGAGACACGCGCAGACGGCATCATCAAACACACGCCCGTCAACGGCGGCAGCGCCTCACGTATGCGTGCTGCGTGCCGCCAGCTCTTGGTCCCCGGGTTCGCAACTGAGACCGACACAAGAAGTTTGCGCATCGCCGGCCGGCCTCGGCGCATGGCCCTGCTTGCACTTCGGACGTCTGAGGCGTCCCTCTGCCCGCCCATTCATGTGTGCTTCTGCGCCTTCTTCCCTCCTCGCCCCCCCCCCCCCCAATCCCGTGCTCTCTCGCCCGCGGTATATTGTTTCCCCCCCCGGGATGAGGTTGGAATAGGGCGGGCTCGCCACGCCTCGAAGTCGGCCGGCCCGCACCAGCCACCTCGAAGCGCGACTTGCATGGCACGGAGAGAAGCCCGACGTCTCCGAGCCTGCAGCCGCCGTTGGTGGATTCGTCGATCCTTTGCCAAATGCTAGCTTTGGAATTCTGCCTTGCGGCCCCCCCCTCTCTTCCTCTTGTCTCTCTCCACTCACACACGATGCCATTCATGCGCATATACACACACACGCACACACTTGCTCATGTATTCCTACATATCAACCAAGAACCCCACCCCCTGCAAGTCTTTACCTCTGCCTTTCGAATGTACCTGTACACCATCGGGCGCCTGACGCCTGGATCCGGGAACACGGATCCCTGATATGAGTGGACCGGGGCGAAAATAGAGGTGTCCGTCCCCCCCCCCCCCTTCCCTTCCCCCTCGTGCCGTCGGTTTTGGCTCCTCACTGTGGCTGTTTAGGAGTGACAGTCGGTGTGCAGGTTGCGATTGAGGGCAACGAGCGGGCCATGCAAGATTGCGGGACTGGCCTCCTTTCCATCTCCCTCCCCCTTGGTTATTTCTTCTTGTCCTGCCACACCCGCCCATGTCTCGTCGTGGCTTGCTCCATCAAGGCAAATCCCGGGCCACAGAGCCTGGGGACCGCAGCTGCCCGTGGGCTGGGAGCCGTCATGCGGGAACAGCTGGCTCTGCAGGTTGGTTGGGGTGCGAGTTTGGAACGGGCGCGCGCCGTTGGCAGGGTTGGCAGAACCACGGCCCGCAGCGATCCGCTCCTTACCTGGAACCTGGTTGCCAGTCTCGCAACACGTTTCGAGTGGCGATGCTGGACGACGCGGGCAGCGGGGGACGGAGCTGGTGGGAAGCTAGAGGAGGCGGACCGGGCTTGGACTCGTGTTGTCGTCGTCTAGGGGCTGAGGAGTGAACCGATGTCCTCGTATCACGGGGGGGAGGAAGGTGTCGGTGTGCTGTTGCTTCTTTCGTCTTGGATGTGCATCTCCGCTGCTTCCGTCGCTTCTTTGTTGTCGACAAGGTAAGAGATATGCAGGTTCTAGGGGGTGTCGCTCGTGGTCTTCTCCAAGCCTCGAGTCGAGTGCTGTGTTGTCCTGCCCCGGCCTCCATCTTCTCTTGAGACTAGAGTGTGTTTCCATACCCGTCTCAATGCTGTTGGAAGAGCACGGGGCTTCAGAGTCACCAGGAAACCCATTCTGAAGCTGTGAGCTTCCTACTAATTGGTCCAAGAAGTGTTCTCTATGCAGGTTGTTGGTCCTGTTGAATCAAGACTGTATCTGGAAATGTGACCACTCGATATATGCAATGCAAAGGCACGCCACGGTGGACTTGCATCTAGTCATCACTTTGACCCCCCCGGGATATTGTGAATAAGCAAACGGGAGGTCGCAACCCAGATGACAGCATTACATGCTTGGCGATACAACAACAGCCTTGATACGAGGCGGACATCCTTGTTGCTTTATTGGCACCACCGCATTCGGGCTATAAAACCACTTGGATAATAGATGGCTGGACAATGCAAAGTTCTTGGCAAGGCATGTCTCTTTGAGCTTCTGTTGCTTTTGGGGGATGTATGTAGCTCAGCGTACTCTGGACTCCATTGGCTGCCCGCCTAGGCTGACCACCACTTTCCGAACCATTGCCCTTTCTGGACGGGTTGTTTGCTTTCATGGGGCAACCCGAGGGAGTGGTAACGCGGCAGGGGGTTGGTGGGTTGTGGAAGCCCCCAGACTCTCGTACTCGTTTTGAGGGACGGGTCCCCAGCCTTGGTCCCCGGGACTGTCTCCCGAACGAATAGCATCCCCACCGTCTCGTCCATGGATATGGTGTTATCCCCCCGCTTGCCGGGCTCGGTTGTATCTTGCATATTTACGGTTGGGAAGGCATGGACAGCCAGGCATTCACCCTTGGCCGCCACGAAGAGCATACTTTGACGTCGATATCACGCACGGTATGTAGTTGATGAGGCGTACACAGTCTCGTACGGTGCGGTGCGGTATGCTGCAGGGTAACCATCTGATTCGTCGGCTTCTCTTTCCGAGCCCGCGCGCGGCGTAGACGCAAAGGCCCCCGGGGGGGGGGGGGGGGGCGGATGGGTTCGGTACCCAGTGTCGCTCCGAAGGGGGCGCCACAACAACTGTGCCTCATGGGAACCCACCTCGGAAGTCAGGGGGTCTGGCCTGGCTCCCTGGTTGATAGTGAAGAGGCTTATCACCTTGTAGCTTTGGTCCAAGCATTGTGGTTGCGGCGGAGTAGGTTGGGCGAGGTAACTATCTGGCTGGGTTTTCCCAACGACCAGATTATTGGCTGGGGAACAGGATAAACCTAGGGAGTCGGAATCTAGTCCTTTTTGTAAGGTGCTTTTATAGAGCAGGATGACATGCCTTTTTTACAATGTTCGCTTTGGCTTCTAAGCAGAGCAGATTGTTGATTAGTAGCTGTTGGGCCTGGATACCAAAGAACACTGCCCAGCTGGCCTTAATGGCGTAAGCCCTCGTTATCTGATGGTGCTAAGACTGGTCGGATACCCAAAGTTGCTGCCATGCTT